CTGTAGCTCAAGTGGTAGAGCGCTCGCCTTGAGCTGAAGAGCTGAGGGACAAGCGCCCAGGCCCAGAGTTCAAGCCCCACAACCGCCAAAAAAAAAAAAAAAAATTCTGTTGCGGGCTGGAAAGTTGGCTCAGTGGTAGAGTGCTTGCCTCGCATACATGAGGCCCTGGGTTCGATTCCTCAATACTACATAAGCAGAAAAAGCCGGAAGTGGCTCAAGTGGTAGAGCGCTCGCCTTGAGCTGAAGAGCTGAGGGACTGCGCCCAGCTCAGAGTTCAGGCCCCATGACTGGACCCCCAAAAAAATTTCTGTTGCATTCTGTCCTCTTGCCTGAAGTATACATGCGAGTGGTTTCCATATTTCTTCACCTTCCATGACTCCATGAACATTACTGTACATAGTTCCATATGTACTTTGCAAGAGCACCCCCCTGATGATGGCTTTCCTTTATAAACATGCATTGAGTCACCCGGAGACCCTGACTGCAGACTTGTGTGCTCCGCGATTGATTACAAAGTCTTTGCCCCAAGCTTGAAGCATGCATACCTTTCCACCTTCTGCCTCTGCTTCCTCCTGTTCTCCACACTCTCTGTAACCCCAACCTCCTTGCACGCCTCCTTTGTTCCCTGTGACTGCTTTCAGCTTGGATACCTATGCCAGGCTAAAGGAGGCTCCTGCCAACTTCCAGATGCATGTCAGGAAAACAGCAGATAAACTTTTGTAGACATGAGGCCTGCCGGCCTGCCTGCCTTCCTTCTTTTCCTTCTTTCTTCTTTCTGCTTTCTTTCTTTCTCTCTCCCTCCCTCCCTCCCTCCCTCCCTCCCTTCCTTCCTTCCTTCCTGTCTGTCTGTCTGTCTGTCGTGTGACCTTGGCGCTGTCCCTCAGCTCTTCAGCTTAAGGCTAACACTCTACACTGGAGCCACAGTGCCACTCCTAGCTTTTTCTGCTTATGTGGTACTGAGGAAATGAACCCAGGGCTTCATTCATGCGAGGCAAGCACTCTACCACTGAGCCACCTTCCCAGCCTGATATTAGATTTTTCTTTTGTGAAGCTGGTAATGGAACTCAGGGTATCCAGCATGCTGGGAAAGTGTTCTGCTTATTCACACACCAGTGGAATTATCTTTTCAAAAATCTGCTGATCTCCACCTTTTTTCATACTTAGCCTTAGTACAGGAACCAGAAACACAGAATCAAAGACACATGACCTGTGCTTTTGGATCTTGCAGTGTGGATGAAAAATGATTCTGCGTGCCCACCACCAAGTCAGTCTTGTCTTGTGCCAGCTGCCATCTTGAGTATGTTCATGTGTGTTGTGTGTGGGCCTGCACTGGCCTCACAGAGCGGGCTTCATGTTAGGCATCTTGTGGGGAGGAAACTCAGGCTCTGGGGCTGCGGGTAGCAGGTGGGGTGTGCCCAGGCTGTGCACTTCCCTCCTGAGGGCCTGCCGTTGTCACCTGCTGTCTTACAGAGGCTGTGTGCACCCGTGTACTGCAGTTATCAATTCTACAAGACGCCAGTTCACAAGACAAAGGGGGAGCCACACGGGACCCATGTATACTTCCAGGACATCAATGTCATCTTCCTTGGAGCCATCCATCCCAGTGACCTGAGGGAGTACTTGGAGGGCCCCCCGATGGTGGTGGAAGTTCATGACCGGGACCGGAAGTCAGAAGAGTATTCTCACAAGCTCACCCCCTTTAGAGAGAGTACTCTGGATCCATACATCAACCTCCAGACCCTCATCTCTTCCAAAGAGACAGAGAACAATCCCTTTAAGTCCCAGAACAAGACATGGGACCCTTACGGGGTTGCCCAGGTCAGCTTTGCTGACCTGCTCCTTGGCCACAAGTACCTGAACCTGGTTGTCCCCATCCACAATTGTGAGCCCAAGGGCGCAAGCCACAGCTGGGCCCTCAGGAGCAGGAAGGCTGTGGGGTCCCAAGTTCCCACCGATATCCTCCAGCTCAGCCCGATGCCCATGGGCAACTACCTGGAGGCTGATTCACTGCTCAAACTGCGAGTGGACGTGGCAGTGCCCTTGAACGTTGGGGTACAAGCCCCCAGTGCAGACCTCACAGCCACCCGGTTTGGTCGCATTGTTTTTGTGTTCGACTCCAAGAAGGTGTTCCTTCTGCAGAGCTTGCTGCAGGACATCACTGCCATCAATGCCAAGGCCCTGGAGCTGGATACATACCCAGCCAAGAATATCCAGCAGATCCTGTCTGCCTTCAAGATGCGGGTGAAGATCCAGGACCAACTGGATATGGATCTGCTCACCGGCTTCCACCTGCTGGATGGGAAGATCCACCTCCTCATCCTGGAAGGCTTGGCAGACCAAGGCTTGAAGCAACTGTGGGAGAAACATCAGAGTAGGTGAGTGACTCCCTCCATATCTCAGATGGGAAACAGTGTTCTGGTCGTAAAGAGCAGAACAGCCTTTGAAAGCCAAGGTTAGGGTTAGTGTCTTACTCTGAGAAAGAGATTCTGTTCCCCTCAAGAGTTTATTGTCAGCTGCCTGTCAGGGCTCAGGAATGGGAGTTGATAACCAGAATTTTTGCCTATTGTTGAGGTAAAGAATTGAATGGGGTACATAAGATCTGGTGATTCAGAGAATGAATCTTGCCTCAGACTTCTGAGCAAGGGCTATCTTGGAAGCCAGGGCAGAATGCTCTGTATTAGTTTTCAGTTCATCCCAAGAAATACTAATGTAACCATTTTGAGCCCAGTGAGGATGTTCAGGAATAGGAGCTGCTTGTCTCTGGATCCTCAGGGGTACTGGCATGGATCCTCGGAGGACATCGTAGAGATAAAGCGTCAGGTTCTGTGCCAGAGCAGCTCTCATGAGTCTCGCCTTCTTGAGTTTCAGTGGTGTGATAACTCTTCTTCTGTGACAATCTGGAAGCATCCACATCTGAGTAAATAAGGCTCCCCTCTAGTGGGAAGAACCTTCTTTGGCCCACAGAGCTCACATGTGCTGGCAGCGAGGAATCCAGAAGTATGTTTGCCCAAGAGGCTGGTCAGCACTGGGCAAACTTGCCCTGACCCGCTGACAAGCCACAAGGCACCAGAAGGAATCTGGCCTACATCTGGGCCTGTGCTTAGGACACACAAAAACTTGTAATGTCATAATACATGACAGTCATAAGTATTCAGAAATAGAAACAACCTAAAGTTCATCAAAGGATTAGCAATGTGTGGTATGCTTATAAGATAGATATTATTCAGTCAGAAAAATTCAAGTACTGGGGCTGGGAAGGTGGCTCAGTGGTAGAGCGCTTGCCTTGCATGCCTGAGGCCCTGGGTTCGATTCCTCAGCACCACATAAGCAAAAAGAAAAAAGC